AAAACTTACTGACTGCAGATAAGAAAAATTTTCGAAACTTTACCAACACAATACCTTGAAGGCTCGGTAAAACTTCTATGTTGGTCATCCGACTGACCATATTTTTGGCGTAATATATTATTAAACCATGTTTTATCCTGCTTTTCAGTGAAGTATTATGCATGAAGAAATTGTTTTCTTACAAAAATAATCATCTGGCAGTCCCCGATTCTAGGAAAAACTGTACCAGAACGAAGGGGAACTGTAAATAACCTTAGACGGATGATATCTAGACTGATACGGAAAGGAACATCACCGATGCCAGCAGTTTATAGCCAGACCTGAAAGAGAAACTGATACTGTTCAGCTTATCTTTCACCCTATATCATATATAATAATGATATCACATTATAGCAGGAGTAATTATATATTACTGTACTATTTACCTTCTTCCACGAGCAGTGTGTTTTCAGCCAGGTACTTTCTTGTCATTTTCTCTGCAAGAGGTAGGTACATTGTTTGAGCAAGCTCTGGATCGTTGTACGCCTAAACTTGATGATTCTTGACCTCTTTAGTCAATCATCCACAACGCCCAACAATCTAACCTGAATGATGTTGCACATGACTGCCCAACAGTAGTAAAAACTCTTGCTGGGTTTCAATTTGTATAGATGCATTGCCGTGAGGCACAATTTGCGGTAATCACCAACACGCGCATATGCCATCGCCAGATGAGACAGATACTCCTCATTTTTCGATTGATTCTTCACCACTCGTTCATACAGCGTTATGACTTTCTCGGCTAAAAAACAAACGGACTAAAGCCAGACAGGCCCGGGATCTAAATCCTTACGAGTCAATGTCAAAATCTCTTACGCTGTCCTAAATCTCCGTAGCAATACGTCAGTGCCTGTAGCGTGAATGGCTCTTCAGGCGACTTTTCCGTCATTTCCTCCAGCAATCGTTTCGCCTCATCCATTCGTCCCAGACGAATGAGTGACAATGTCTTCAAGGCCTAAAGCGAGGACCATCGTAAAAATAAATGCGACATCAGTGCATATTACATTAAAATTACCTATCTATCTAAAAAATACAGTTAAGTTTAACGTAATTTCAATAACTGTTCTTAAACTGATTCAATATAATGCTTAATTTTTCTTGTCTCTGGGTACACGATGCATAGAAGGTTGGAAGATACATACACTGCGGAGTTCTGATGCACACTATTTATTCTCGTACATCATAATAAAACGTTCAAAGAAGCTAGACTATTCATGTTTTACAAAAGCGTGTGGGATATTCGTGAAATAAAGGAATGCTGCGGTTAACATCGCACCGCCACGGCAATGGGGAAAGTTATTAATGATCCGGCCTATAGGGATCGTAATGCTGCTATTCAAAACTGAAGATCATTGTGAATGTTTTAATTATGAGAGTGTTACAATTCTAAGTCTAGCTGATAAAATTTTACAAGGGTACTGGTAGAAAAGTTTTGTCAAGAAACCGGTTTACACCTCAGCTGAAACACCAGGGACAAGACTTTCCACTTAGCGCAAGTTTGTGAGAAACCGTGGCAGTTCGTTCAATGGTTTTCCCGCGACACGTGGACCGGGAAAAAGTCCATAACTCCGTTCTCTGCAGCAGGCAGTGGGTGTGTCTCAGAGGAAATAAAACTAATCGCAAGATGATGCTTCACGTTCAGTCACTATATCTTGGCAGCAGAAGCTGCACCAGTAGTAAGACGAGGCCCTTCACCTTCCGCAATGAACTCTGCTAAGGGAGCGTTCTTTGTTTCTGTTGATTTTGTACATGGTGGTAAAAGAAGTGTGTGTATCATCAGAGTAAATATTTAAATGGGATGTCGGCTTGAGCATAAGAGCCGGTTACACTGGCCTCCCCTCAGGCCAATCAACGAATGTAAGGTAGCAGGAATGCATATCAACATGCAAGTCCTTTTTGATCACCAGCCTGGTGTGCTATGGTGAGAAAAGTGACTAAATCAGGTGAAGTTCAAAGACCTCGGCACTGTCTCGATGACTGAGGGAAAACGGAAAGAAAAAATTGCCCGTTGGACACGAATGGAAATCTGAATGCACATGAACTATATCACGTGGTCAGAAGTAACAATGAATTAAATCTAAAGAAACAGTCTGTGCTAAAATCAACTTTCATGTTTACGCTTACCTAAGGTCTTCATTCATGGGCAATGACGTTAAAAAAAGGCGATAAGCACAACCAAACAAGCGACTAGATGATTTCCACAGGAAAATTATAGGGCATAGGAGCCTCCATAGGTTTCTTAAAAAACCCTTGGAATCAGAAACTGACTGGCATAACTTAGGAGAGCAAATTACGACGATATGAACATGTTCAGAGAATTCCGCTATGGCATAAAACCAAACTGTTACTGTATATTCAGCCGACGGGCTGAAAACTCCAGAGAAAACATAAAATAACTCTCAGCAAATGCTCCAACGATATTTTCTCTAGATTAGAAAAGCTCCTCTCCACATCAAGGCATTTGTACAAAATATAAATGTTCCTGAAATTAACGGAAGGTGCCTTCTGCCAAACTAAAAAGAAAAAAGAGCACCTGAAAGTGACTGGTTGAGAAAACATTCCTGATGAATCTATGACGTTACCTTTGCCGCCAAGAAGTCAGGTTGCTTCTTCAGCAGCTTCTCAGTTTCCGAAAGCGCACGTTTGTTGTTACCCATGTCAAGGAAATCTAAAAATAAAGTTAAGATTGGCATTCATACATAACAGATATGCATGTAATAAATATGCCATGTTAATTATTTACCAGAAGGGTGCAAGATGGAAGCGAATGCAGTGCCAAACGCGAAAGCTAATTAAGTTCGGTCAAAAAAATGTCAGATGTCGAATGATCAGGGGGCAAACAAGGTATTCTAGATGACCATCGCCGCCTCTAAGATGGAAAGAAGGGCAGTCTAAAAGACCTAAGGAGAAGTACAGACCCCTTTTGGTGAAATGAGAGCATTCCTCAGCGATGTAAAGAGTACTTGGGAAACGTTTTAATTCCAAGCAACTACAGGAAGAATCGTCTGAAGAGCAGCAGGCAAAAATATTAGTCTTTTATCAGATGAAGTAACACCAACAATGCAATATTTGAAAATTACCAAGGCAGCTGGAATCGACAAAATTTGCCATGAAATGTTCAAAGCTATATGCGAACAAGGCACGCTGTGGCTAACACGCCTCTGTGAAACCGTAATAGCTAACAAACACCAGTGCAATGACAAACAGATGTGCAATATTCCTGTGACAAATAGTATTTAAAAAGGGAGACCACAGGGAGTGTTTCAAATATACAGGTATTACCTTATTGAGGCTCCCGGGAAAGTCTATGCAAAACTGCTAGAAAAGAGGTGCCGCTGAATAACTGACTCTAAAACACAAGAACAGCAGTGTAGCCTGAGGTAAGGATGAAATACCTGTTATCAGATATTCGTCTTACACCAGACTATTGGGACATCATGGGAGCTCGCTCATCCAATTTACAAATTCTTTGAAAAGAAAGCCTATGACGATATCCAGTGCAACAATCTATGAGTATGTCAGGGAACATATGGCATTGATGGCCAGTTGCTACGGGCCACCCCAATCACTATATGCTAATAGCAAGTGCTGCATGAGAGTAAGTGGCCTTAAGTCGAGACCATTCATTGATGGCCGTGTTCTTCGCCAAGGATGCATTCTATTCCCTCTCCTGATTGCGTTGTACATGGATAGAATTGCCAGGCGTAGTCAGAACAATGACAGTGTATCATGGTATTATATGTGGAGACGAGAAGGTTTCTGTTTGAAGACGGCCCTGTTTTGCTGACATGTTGTGAAACGATCTCCACCCCTAGAGGGAACGGTTCTAATCCGAGTGCGATGTGGTCGGCACGAAAGTGTACGTGTCTAAGACGAAAAGCCGTGTTTTCTCGTTCCACTCTCATGTGATTTGTAGATAAACCGAAAAGGAGTGGAACAGAAAAAGTTCTCCTACCTCAGGGTTGTGCTTACTGGTGATGGAAAATGGAACGAAGATACTGTCCCTCGGATTGGAATGGCCAACGACGCACTAAATGAACTAGCCAGAACAATTTTCTGAAGACCTTGTTGTGCGTGTACTCAAGTTGATCTTCATCAAATGCTTCTCCACGGTTACGAGTCATGGCCAATGAATGACCAACTTCGATCCGAGGTACATACAGCTGAAATGAGCTTCCTAAAACGAATCGCTGGTCGAAAGTAGAGGTATCACGGAGTCTTGGTATACAGCAGCTGTTTCTATAGACTGAGAAGTCACAGCTGCAATGGTCTGGGCACGCGTTTCGAATGCCCACAGAAAGGAAGGCGAAACAAGTACAACTTGCTCATGTGACCAGCCAAAAAATAACCTGAATTAAGTGTTTCGAAGTACTCTGCTCCATTCTGGTTATCTTCAACATAAGTTCAAACGTTGGTACAGGATTGGGAACGTTGGAGACTCTGTTTGACGCATCTGCCTCCACGCCCCAAAACAATAAGCGGTCATTGAAACTGACTGACTGATTTTACATCCTTTATGTAACAATAACAAAATGCATATGTA